TTATAAAATGCAGACAGATCAGTGTGTTCATTAACTCCCACTTTGGAGAGCCATTAAAATCTTTCTTGCTGCTGTTTTCTTCAGGATTTTTGTGACATTGGAACAGCTCCTCCAGCTCTTATTCTTTTGTTATCGAGATTATGTCTTGATTTTCAAGAATCAACTATCTCTTATATGGTATGTTATGACCATTGTTCTTACAATGCTCGGAGATTGTAGATAATGACAACGCGAGATAATGATTATGTTTTTTGGGTAAATTTTTTAGGTACGATTTTTGGGTTGTTCAGGTTCTTTTTTTTTTTTTTAAGGTATAAGCGCCGTTAAAACCGCTCGATTCTAGTGGAAAATGCAAACCACTGAATTAATTTCATACCTCCAGAGTAGCTAACTCGAATAAAGGAAGCAAAGCTCATGGTTGATAAATTTCGTGTCTTTTGCGTAGCTGAGTCTCACTGACGAGCAATTTCCAGTAGACGAGGAGTTGGGACGAGGAAGCCTGACAACTTCCGTGTCAGATCTCGCTACAGAAGCTCGGCACATTGCACAGGTCTGTAACAGTATTTACAGCGATGGAAAGTGTCGATCTTGAGTACTGGTGCTTAAAATACAAATTTATTGTTTAAGTCTCGTTGTAAGCCTGTTTTACTGGCTCCAAGGGCTTAAAGAAGTAAAATCATGCCATTTTGTGCCTGAATTTTTTTTGTTCAAAATGAAAAAAGCAAAATGTCAGCTTGATGAGATAGAAAATCTTTAAAGCAGGAAGCTAGACATTGGGGAGCAACAACGATGGCTGGAAACGGACGAGACCAAAACAGATCACTTGAAATAAAGAATTAAGATTTGATTGATCAAGATCCACAGTGACTTGGCTTTTTCAGATAACAGGTTTTGCATGGCTCTGTAACAGTCTTTTTCGTGATAAATAAACAAAGATTGGGATTTCCTTCTTTAGTTTAAACATGCGGTGGTTTTGTCAGATTGTTGCCCCTCAGTCGTGTTTATGTCATCCATGGTTTGCTACTGTTTTTTTCTCCAACAGAGCCTTTTGAATCATTATGTGAGAATGCAAGGGCTAACAATCTCTCAGGTACGTACTAGACTGGTTGGCTTTAAGTTAACGGAGTTCAAAGTCTTACGATGAACGTTTGTTATAAATCATTTCATATAAGCTGAATTCAACACCCATTTTGATTGGTTGTTCCTCATGATCTATTGGAGGACAGACAGTATGGAATATAGATATTGAGTAGATGACGTTTCGATCGTTAGTCAATTGCTGAGAACTGTAAGTTACTAAAAGGACTAGGTCAAAACATTTCGTTTTTTTTTTCCATTTGCACAAAATATTGTTTAAAAAAGTCCTTAAATCGAAGCAAGCCACAAAATTAAGAAATACTAAAGCGAAGGTGATAAACAAAGAAGGAACGAGAGTTTAGGAAGAAGGGGGATACGCTTTGCAAATGGCTAACTTGAAAATTTAGGTAAACATTTTCTAAAATCTTCAATTTAAATACTGAAAGAAATTGTCATAATTTACTATCAAACATGTCTTGGGTTGAAAGGGTAGAGGGAGGGCGGCAGGGTGAAACCACATATTGCCAACCTTGCTATCCCCTTAAAATTATACCTTAACTGAATCAACGATCGACATCTTCTCCCCCC